ATTCAAATGTTAACAATATCAACGTTTCATGCTAGAAATAAATGTCAATCTAACCATGCCATACACAATGTCAAACTCACCTTGGCATAAATGTCAGTCTAAAGTCATGCCAAATGTCAAACTTACCTATCATAAATGTCAACCTCAAGTCATGCCAAATGTCAACTCACCTTGTCATAAATGTCAACCTCAAGTCATGCCAAATGTCAACTCACCTTGTCATAAATGTCAACCTCAAGTCATGCCAAATGTCAACTCACCTTGTCATAAATGTCAACCTCAAGTCATGCAAAATGTCAACTCACCTTGTCATAATGTCAATCTCAAGTCATGCCAAATGTCAACTCACCTTGTCATAAATGTCAACCTCAAGTCATGCCAAATGTCAACTCACCTTGTCATAAATGTCAGCCTCTATTCACGCCAAATGTCAAACTCACCTTGTCATACAAATGTTCACCAGCATGACCACCACTGTAAAGAGGAAAAACTCCACCACCATCGTGTACTTGCGACCGATTTTGTTCAGAAGGAAAGCCGTGATGAACAAACCTGTAGAATGAACGTGCGACTCTCAGAAATACTCTCTACTCAAGTCGTTTACTTTATAGACGTGGTCTACACTTTATAGAAGAGGTCTACACTTAATAGACCAGGTCTACACTTTATAGACCAGGTCTACACTTTATAGACGAGGTCTACACTTTATAGACGAGGTCTACACTTTATAGACCAGGTCTACACTTTATAGACCAGGTCTACACTTTATAGACGAGGTCTACACTTTATAGACGAGGTCTACACTTTATAGACCAGGTCTACACTTTATAGACCAGGTCTACACTTTATAGACCAGGTCTACACTTTATAGACGAGGTCTACACTTTATAGACGAGGTCTACACTTTATAGACCAGGTCTACACTTTATAGACGAGGTCTACACTTTATAGACGAGGTCTACACTTTATAGACCAGGTCTACACTTTATAGACCAGGTCTACACTTTATAGACGAGGTCTACACTTTATAGACGAGGTCTACACTTTATAGACCAGGTCTACACTTTATAGACCAGTTCTACACTTTATAGACGAGGTCTACACTTTATAGACGAGGTCTACACTTTATAGACCAGGTCTACACTTTATAGACCAGGTCTACACTTTATAGACGAGGTCTACACTTTATAGACGAGGTCTACACTTTATAGACCAGGTCTACACTTTATAGACCAGGTCTACACTTTATAGACCAGGTCTACACTTTATAGACGAGGTCTACACTTTATAGACGAGGTCTACACTTTATAGACCAGGTCTACACTTTATAGACGAGGTCTACACTTTATAGACGAGGTCTACACTTTATAGACCAGGTCTACACTTTATAGACCAGGTCTACACTTTATAGACCAGGTCTGCACTTTATAGACCAGGTCTGCACTTTATAGACCAGGTCTACACTTTATAGACCAGGTCTAACTTATAACAAGATATTTATCTCCATGTAATATGAAATGAGTCTGACTTTTTATTGTTGGGCGTAACCATCACTGAGAGAACGCCCCAACATCAACTTCCATCCCAGCTCCCCACGGAGCTGCCACTGCTCCCCCCCCCCCACCACAGTTCTCCAGAGTTTCCAATGTAATATTGTTTGATTCAGTCGAAACCTATAATCGGTAAGAGAAAACAAGTCGGTCTCCCATGTAAGCGCTTACCAGGGAATTCTGCAAATGTGGTCCAAGTGAGATCAATGTAGTCTTCAGACGATAAAGATTTACACTCCAGGAAACATGTTGGGTTAGGGTTGTAATGGACATCTGTACCTGGGGACGGGAGACATGTTGGGTTAGGGTTGTAATGGACATCTGTACCTGGGGACGGGAGACATGCTGGGTTAGGGTTGTAATGGACATCTGTACCTGGGGACGGGAGACATGTTGGGTTAGGGTTGTAATGGACATCTGTACCTGGGGACGGGAGACATGCTGGGTTAGGGTTGTAATGGACATCTGTACCTGTGGACGGGAGACATGTTGGGTTAGGTTTGTAATGGACATCTGTACCTGGGGACAGGAGACATGTTAGGGTTGTAATGGACATCTATACTTGGGGGACAGGAGACATGTTGGGTTAGGGTTGTAATGGACATCTGTACCTGGGGGCAGGAGACGTGTTGGGTTAGGGTTGTAATTGACATCTGTATGTGGCGACAGGAGACATGTTGGGTTAGGGTTGTAATTGACATCTATACCTGGGGACAGGAGACATGTTGGGTTAGGGTTGTAATGGACATCTGTATGTGGCGACAGGAGACATGTTGGGTTAGGGTTGTAATTGACATCTGTACCTGGGGACAGGAGACATGTTGGGTTAGGGTTGTAATGGACATCTGTATGTGGCGACAGGAGACATGTTGGGTTAGGGTTGTAATTGACATCTGTACCTGGGGACAGGAGACATGTTGGGTTAGGGTTGTAATGGACATCTGTATGTGGCGACAGGAGACATGTTGGGTTAGGGTTGTAATTATAGCCATTTTCATTGTTTCTATAGTATAGTAGTTACTATCCTAGTGTCTCATTTTTATTTTACTTAGTTTACATGTTTTTAATAATTGTAAAGCGCTTAGAGCTTTATGGTAAGCGCTATATAAAAATGCCTAAATAAATAAATAATTGACATCTGTACGTGGCGACAGGAGACATGTTGGGTTAGGGTTGTAATTGACATCTGTACGTGGCGACAGGAGACATTAAAGTTACGTTGTGGCCCTGGGGAAAGGGTAAACTTAATTATCTGTTAATATTAAGGTTTTGGGTTTCAACACCTCAAAGCTGTTCAAGTCTCTAAGCCAGTGCAATAAAATACATCGTTGAAATACATCAATGGGTGGAGCCTCGCCATGTGCACTTTTGAAATTTTTCACGAAAATAGTGTGCACCAAAAAAAAAATGATGTGCACAGTCAAATGAAAATAGCAGGCTGAAAATGGTGCGCTCAAGAATATTGTGTTCTCAATTAAATGTTGCGTTTAAGAAAATAGTACGGTCGAAAAAAAATACGCTCAATCAAATAGTGTGTTGAACGAAAATTATGTTTTTTTTAAGAAGATTGGTACGCTACGGAGGTTGTGCTTAAAAATTAAGAAACTATTACGACCAAGAAACAAAGCGCTCAAGAACTATTTTGTGTAAGAAATCAATTTTTTTTTCATTTATTAATAACACTTTTGTGATAACGTACAAAGAAATCTGGATGATCTCAATGAGAGTATGAAATAGGATATGAAATCATTTCAATTGGTGTTTAACATTGAACGCTTTGAGAGATTTCAAGGGCATTCGGTTAACGTCCATTCAACAGCAGCTTTTATAATAAGGCCCCAGGAAGAAATGTGTTGACCCTTATTTAAACGGTGTGCGTGTCGATGATTTGAACGTCCCGGCGTCTGCAGCATTCAAAGGAGTGATATGGTGTTGTTTACTCACCATGACAACCGTCAGGACTTTCAAACATGGCGGTCGTGAGTAAAACAATTCCATTGTAGGAGAAGGCGCTCACTAGCCTGGGGACATACAAAGGTTGGACTGCGATGAAGCTACAAGGTTAAGGACTTGTCCCCATTCTTATTATTTTTTTTTGTATGTACAGGTTGGAGATATATATATAATATATATATATAATATATATATATATATATATATATATATATA